GTCATATGGTATTTGCCCTCTTGTATGGGCCCCGACTGGCTTATCTCACTGTATAATGTTCTCAGGGTTCATCCGTATCGTAGCCCCGACAGGATTTCCTTCCTTTTTCGGGCTGCGTAATATTCCACTTTGTGTGTGTGTATCTGCCATATTCCTTTGGCCGTTTATCCGTGAAAGGACCTGTGGGTGGCTTCCTTCCAGCTCTGCTGTTGTGACCGATGCTGCAGATGCACACTGGCGTGCAAACATCTCCTTGGGACCCTGCTTGAGCCTTGGGGATGCACGCCCAGAAGTGCCTCGCTGGTTTCACTTCTTCGAGGAACAGCCGTGCCGGGCCACATAAGGAATGCACTGTGCTGCACTCACACCATAGTGCTCGGGGGCTCCAGTTTCCCCACGCCTCCACTGACACCGGCGGTTTTCCGTTGTTCTGATGGGGGCCGTTTCCGTGCATGTGAGGTGGTGTCTCGCCGTGGCCCCGATTCGTGTTTCTCTTACGACTTGTGATGCAAACATCCTTTTCTGGACTTACTGACCATGTGTGTCTTCTCCAGAGAATCATCTATTCACACCCCTCCCCCATTTTTTTAAGATTTTATTTATTTATTTATAGAGAAGGAACAGGAAGGAGAAAGAGAGGGAGAGAAACATCACCGTGTGGTTGCCTCTTGTGCACCCCCTACTGGGGACCTGGACTGCAACCCAGGCATGTGCCCCGACTGGGAATCGAACCTGCAACCCTTTGATTTGTGGGTCCACGCTCAATCCACTGAGCCACACCAGCCAGGGCCCCTCGCCCATTTTTAACTGGATTATTCGGGTTTTTGTCGAGCTGTTTTAGAGTGTGGGGGTTTCCTATATGTTATCAGATACATGATTTTCGAGCATTCTCTCCCCTCCTGCAGGCTGTCTTTTCGTCCGGTTGGTGGTTTCCTGTGATACACAGACTTTTTCCGTTTCATTTCGTCCCTTTTGTGCAGAGTTGCTTTTGTGGCCTGGGCTTTGGGCCTCACGCCCAAGAAGCCAGGACAAAGCCAGCGTTCTGAAGCTTCCCGTGTTTTCTTCTAGGAGTCTTCCGGTTTCGGGTCTTACATTCGGGGCTTTCCCCCATTTGGAGTTGATGTTTATGGACGGTGGCAGGCCAGGGTTTCACGGCCTTCGTCTGCACGAGGCACCCGGCGCTGCGTGCTGGAGACGGCGTCCGTTCCTCTTTGGGCACGTCGGGCCCTTGGCTCTGAGGCCGCTGGAGCTTGTGCAGAAGAGCCCACCGCCACCGGGCCCTCCGCCACCGGGCGGCACGTCTGTCTCCATGCACCACCGTCATCGCTGACGCCGGTGTGTGTCCTGACGTGGGGGTCTCGGGCATCGCGATTTCTCCAGGCTGCTTGGGGCATTTGGGGTCCCTTGAGATTCCACAGGAATGTAAGATTTTTCTCTCCGTTTCTGCAAACTTTGCCGTTGAGGTTTGGAGAGGGAGCACACTGAGTCTCTGGATCCCTTTGGTGCTGCAGACACTTGAACAACACTGAGTTTTCGGATCCGTGAACGTGGGTGTCTTTCCATTGATTTGTACATTTTATTTCTTCTAGCGAGGTTTGGAGTTTGCGGTGTACAAGTCTTTTGCCTCCTTAGTTAATGAGTTTATTCCTAAATATTTTATTCTTCTCGATGCTGTTATAAATTGGACTGTCTTCTTAACCGCCTTTTTGGATTGGGCGTTGTTAGAATACAGAAAAACAATGGATTTTTATGTGTTTGTTTTATGTCCTGTGACTGTGCTGAGATTGTTTATTTAACAGTTCGAGGAGGGGGTTGAGGGGCATCTTTAGGGTTTTCTACAAATGAGATCATATCATCTACAAACAGACAGTTTAACTTTTTCCTTTCCAATCGGATGTCAGTTATTTACCTTTCTCATCTAGTTGCCCTGGCGAGGACCCCCAGTACTAAGCTGGACGGAAGGGGCGAGGGCGGGCATCCTCCCATCGCTCCTGGTCCCAACAGGAAGGAGAGCTTCCGCTCCTCCACCAACAAACGAGTTTCGCAGTGGGCTTTCCCGGCGTGGTTTTTATGGCGCTGAGGCAGTTTCCTTTTATCCCTAGCCCGTCGAGTGTTTTTATCCCAAAAGGGTGTCACACCTTACCAAATGCTTCTTCTGCATCAAGGCCGTCGGTCTGTGGTTTTCTCTTCTTTGGGTGACACTGGGCTTCCTTGTGAACGCTGTGGGTGAGTGGCTCCCGGCACACGCCGTATGTTCCCGGTGCTCAGAATGGCGTAAGAGTTCTCCGAGGCTCTGTTGTCTGTGTGACGTCGCACTCCGACACTGGGCTGGGGACACACGCGAAGTGGGGTTCAGAGTGGGACGCAGCGGGAACATCTTCTGCACCCCCGTTGCATAGAGGGAATGTCCCTCTGTGCCCCCCAAGGAGCCGGGGCGGGAAGAGGACGATGCCGCCCCTCTGTGTCTGACTCGGTGCCTGAGACCCCGCACGCGTGGGCTGGGTGCTGCGTTGGCCGGCCTGCCTACTCGCTTAAAGAGGGGTGTGTGTGCGCGCGTATGTGTGCGTGTGCGTGTGCATGTGTGTGTACGTGTGTGTGTGTGTGTGTGCGTGTGTCGGAGAGAAATCTGGGCGTCGCAGTACAATGGCCTCAAATCGCATCGTTTAAACTGAAATGGAGGCGCTGCTGCTGCCAGCATTCAACGTGTAGCCCCTTAAAAAAAAACATTTCTTCAACAGCAACAGATTCTTGGGGGAGTTGGACTAGTACGTCTTTCGCTCCTTGCTGTATGTCCTTAAATTTTAAAAAATCACACCACGAGATTTCGTTGCAATGCCATGCCCGAGCCGCGAAAAGGAGCTTGCGTCCCCCGGGTTTCTGTTCTGAACGAAGACGGAGGGGCGCCGCGCGGCGGCGGTGTCCTGGCCGCACACTGGCCGCGGCCCCTGTGCCTGTCCCGGGGCCACTGTAGCCGGAAACAGAGGGACAGACGGGTGTGTGCGCAGGGGCGACAGCGACGTGCGGAGTGTTTACGCTCCGAGTGGGTGTTCCCCTCACGGGACGTCCTGCTGAAAGTCGGGACCGGGCAGCTCTGGAACCCTCAGTCGGCCCGGGTCGGAGCCGTGGCGGCGCAGCCAGGGGCGGGCAGGAGGGAGCCGGCGTCCCCTCCCCCCGAGGAGAGCAAAGCGGCCTCCGCGCCGCCCGGCCCGCACCGCGGCTGGCAGAGATGCTGCCACATTAGAGCAGGCGTTTGATTCGCACATTTTGTGAAACAAAAAAACATGTAGGACTTTTCTTCCCCCTACTAACGTACGGCCACCACGGGCCTGTGAGGACGGGCTCCTTGCCCGCGTCCCTCCGCTCCCGGGTCCCTCGCGGGGGAGCCGTGTCCTGCAGAGGAGGACGGCGGCCACGGCGGCGGCAGCTAAGACGGGTGGGGAGCCCGCCGTGCGTCCAGCCCCGGGCCCTGAGCGCGCCACACGCTCGGTCTCACTGAACCCTCGCAGGGAGCTCGGTGAGAGGGCGAAGAGGACGCCAGCCACCGAGGTCCCCGTGCGCGACACCCCACGCCGAGGTTCACTGCGGAGAAACAAATGTCGGGTGACGCAAAGCCCTGCTTTCGCTCCCTGACCCGGTGACCGGCCACGTCTTCGGACAGCAGTGCCCGCCTGGGTCTGCAGGGGCCCTGTCCACCGGCCGGGACCCCAGAGAACTAGAGCTGTGACCCACCAAGGTCGTCCCGCCAGCAGCTGAGCGGCAGCTCTCCGGCCTCAGGAGGCCGTCGGGAGCCCCACTCCGGAGGACTCGGCGAAGCCCACAGCTCCGGCCCCCTCCCCGCGCGAGTGTCCTCCCACAGCCGCCGTGGAGCTGCGCCTGTGAGACAGCGGAGGTCATGCACTCGCGGCCGGCCGGGCGCCGTGCTGAGAGCGCCCGCCACCCAGCTGCCCCCAGGCCCCCGGGCAGCGTGTGAGCCACCCTGCTCCGCTCGGGAGCCGGAGAGGCTCAGCCTCCGGCCGGTCAGACAGGGCACATTCGCGGCATCCGAGGTCTGCAGCCACGGAGCGGGCAGTGCCGTGGCCGTGGGGTGGGGGGAGCTGTCCACGTGATGTTTACATACATGCATGCCTGTTTGCTCTGGGTGTTCTTAAGAGTTTATTTATGTATTTTTTAAGAGAGGAGAAGGGTGGGAGAGAGAGAGAAACATCACCCAGTTGCCTCTCCCACGACCCAAGTAGGGGACCTGACCCTCCACCCAGGCACGTGTCCCGACCGGGAATCAAACCGTGACCTTTCCGTTTTGGGGACGACACTCAGTGCACTGAGCCACAGCGGCCAGGACTCTGTACGCTGGCGTTTCCAGTGAAGAGAGGCAGCACGGTGCAACGGAGTTCCTTCACTGTTTCATCCCGTCCTGTCCCGACGTGGCTGTGAGGGAATGTAAGGAAAGTCGGTGGCGTCCCTTTCTGGTTGCGTGAAACTAACTTGCTGCGTAAGAACAGTCACGCTAGGAAAGCACCGGCTTTTCAAGCCAGTGCGTCTGCAGGGCGTTCCATCCGGAAAGGAAAGAGTGCTGGGGGCTGGACGACCCTGTCGTTAAACTGTGGACAATGGGAAACAGACTGCGGGTCTCGAACACACTGCCCGTCGTGGTTGGCTTGGACCTTCTGGTTTTGGTTTTTGGTGTTTTTTTTTCCTGGTGCCATAATGTATGTAGTTTCTAAAGTCACTTCTGTTTTTTAAAAATGACATCTGTGGGTTTTTCTAAGTGTCCCTATTAAGCTTGTGTGTGTGTACCCAGTCACACAAGCAGCCCCAATTTAACCGTGAAAGTGGAAACCAGTTTAACAGTGTGAGTGGGATCTGGTGAAACCCTTCAAGTGCTTTTGAACCTTCTGCTGTTTGATTCGGGAGGGATCGTGCCTTTCCGGGGGACCGAAGGAAGGCTGTGATGTCGGAGGTCTCGGGAATAGAAGTAACATCTGTCCCCGTCTCACTTCCAGGCACCCCGCAGCAGACTCAGACCCGGTGCCGCTGAGCCGCGGGCGCGCCGGGGACCGGGGAACGTGGCTGAAGGACGCTCGAGCACCCCCTGCCCCCTGCCAACTCCAGAAAACCATCGCTTCGGACTCCGGGATTGTCCTCGCTGCCACTGAGGCTCCGCGTGGATGTCCACCCTCCCTGCTGGCTCCCCCAGGCGTCGCCCTCCAGCGTCCACCTCCCGGTAAAGCGTGCGCGGGCCGGGGCTGAGCTGGCTCGGCGGGGCCGGCATGGCCAGGATGAGCCCGGTCGGCGCGGCCTCCCGCTTGGTGCTGGGCTTGCTGGTGACTTCCTTGTCCGGGTCCTCCCTGCAAAGCAGCGAGTGCCCGCAGCTGTGCGTGTGCGAGATCAGGCCGTGGTTCACGCCGCAGTCCACGTACCGGGAGGCCACGACCGTGGACTGCAACGACCTCCGACTGACACGGATCCCCGGCAACCTGTCCAGCGACACGCAGGTGCTCCTGCTGCAGAGCAACAACATCGCCAGGACGGCGGACGAGCTGCAGCAGCTGTGCAACCTGACGGAGCTGGACTTCTCCCAGAACAACTTCACCAGCATCCGCGAGGTGGGGCTGGCCAACCTGAGCCAGCTCACCACCCTGCACCTGGAGGAGAACCAGATCGCGGAGATGACGGACTACTGCCTGCAGGACCTGGCCAGCCTGCAGGAGCTGTACATCAACCACAACCAGATCAGCGCCATCTCCGCCAGGGCGTTCGCCGGCCTGAGGAACCTCTTGAGGCTGCACCTGAACTCCAACAAGCTGAAGGTGATCGACAGCCGCTGGTTCGACTCGACGCCCAACCTGGAGATCCTCATGATCGGGGAGAACCCCGTGATTGGGATTCTGGACATGAACTTCAAACCCCTGTCCAACCTGAGGAGCCTGGTTTTGGCGGGAATGTATCTCACCGAGGTTCCCGGCAACGCCCTGGTGGGCTTGGACAGTCTCGAGAGCCTGTCTTTTTATGACAACAGACTGGCCAAGGTGCCCCAGCTCGCGCTGCAGAAGGTCCCCAACCTGAAGTTCCTGGACCTGAACAAAAACCCCATCCACAGAATCCAGGAAGGGGACTTCAAGGACATGCTGCGGCTGAAGGAGCTGGGGCTCAACAACATGGGCGAGCTGGTGTCCGTGGACCGGTACGCGCTGGACAACCTGCCCGAGCTCACCAAGCTGGAGGCCACCAACAACCCCAAGCTCTCCTACATCCACCGCCTGGCCTTCCGCGGCGTGCCCGCCCTGGAGAGCCTGATGCTCAACAACAACGCCCTGAACGCCGTCTACCGGAAGACGGTGGAGTCCCTGCCCAACCTGCGGGAGATCAGCATCCACAGCAACCCGCTGCGCTGCGACTGCGTCCTCCGCTGGGTCAGCTCCAACGGGACGGCCATCCGCTTCATGGAGCCCCTGTCCATGTTCTGCGCCACGCCGCCCGAGGTCAGGGGCCGGCAGGTGAAGGAGGCCCTCGCGCGGGACTCCGGGGAGCAGTGCCCGCCCGTGATCGCTCCCGGCGCGCTGCCCGGCTACGTGAACGCGGAGGTGGGCACCGCGGTCCTGCTGGACTGCCGGGCCGTGGCCGAGCCGGAGCCCGACGTTTACTGGGTCGGCCCCCTGGGAAGCAAGATAACCGCGGAGACGCCCTCGGACAGATACACGCTGAGCAGCGAAGGCACCTTGGAGATAGCGAACGTGCGAACGGAAGATTCAGGAAGATACACCTGTGTCGCCCAGAACGTCGAAGGCGCAGACACCCGCGTGGTGACCGTCAAGGTCAACGGCACCCTCCCGGATGGCACCCAGGTGCTGAAAATATACGTCAAGCAGACGGAGTCTCACTCCATTTTAGTGTCCTGGAAGGTCAACTCCAACGTCATGACGTCCAACCTGAAATGGTCGTCGGCCACCATGAAGATCGACAACCCGCACATCACCTACACGGCCCGGGTCCCCGTGGACGTCCACGAGTACAACCTGACGCACCTGCAGCCTTCCACGGACTATGAGGTGTGCCTCACCGTGTCCAACGTCCACCAGCAGACCCAGAAGTCGTGCGTGAACGTCACCACCAAGGACGCCGCCTTCGCCCTGGCCATTTCCGAGCAGGACGCCAGCACCGCCCTGGCGGCCGTGATGGGGTGCCTGTTCGCCGTGGTCAGCCTGGCGTCCGTGGCCGCGTACGTCGCCAAGAGGCTGAAGAGGAAAAACTACCACCACTCCCTGAAGAAGTACATGCAGAAGACCTCCTCCATCCCGCTGAACGAGCTGTACCCGCCACTCATCAACCTCTGGGACGGAGACAGCGAGAAGGACAAGGAGGGGTCCGCAGAGACCAAGCCCACCCAGGTGGACACATCCAGGAGCTACTACATGTGGTGACTCAGTGGACGCTTCGCTTCTGGTCGTAAGGAGCACAAAGACGTTTTTGCTTTATTCTGCAAAAGTAACGCGGGGGAGACTTTTGTATTCGTGACTGGGCTAGCCGGCGGCAGGGTGGAGAGGACTACGGGTGGCTATTTCCTTTTTTTGTTGTTTTTTTTTTTTCAGTAGAGCGTATCGCAAGAGTTTGGCACGGCTGGCAGCACCCCGAGGCTTCCAGGGTGTGTGGGGGTTTTCTTCCTATCGTTTTTATCATTATTATTATATTATTCTTTTGTCTTAGTTTGTGTGCGACACCCAGCGATGCTGTTCTAACTGCAGCGCTCAGTAGAAGGATGGAGGGCGGGGTGGGTTGCCTGTGCCCTCGCCGGCAGCGGCACCCCTCCTCGGGCAGCGGCACCCCTCCTCCTGCAGCCGCCAGCGGAGAGCGCCCCGTCCGCCCGCGGCTGACCTGCAGGCGGGGCGCAGCACGAACCCTTCGCAGCCACCGGCCTCCAGACTGATCCTTCACCCCCAGGAGCTGAGGCCCGACTCGCCGCCTCCTTTGAACGACGTTAGTTGGCTGCACCGTAACGTTGACTCCACTGGATTGGATGTTTGCCTTTGAACGACGACTTCTCTCTCTCTCTCTTTTTTTTTTTTGTAATAGTTAAAGAGGTTTAGAACAAGCTAACAAGCAATAGAAACATGTATATCAAATTTTTTAACGTAACAGACTACATGTTAATTGTTACCGTCTTCTTTTTATCTTTAGTAGACACTTTTAAAAGGAAAGACAGTGCTTTTGTTGTGTTTAACTCACCCACACGCGGCGTAGGATGAAGGCAGCACTACAATAAATTAGTTTTGTTCTGGTTTTCTAGAACCTTCGCGACGACACGTGCTTTCTTTCTGTCACCGGGGGCGGGGGCCAAAAACGTGGTGGATTCGTTCTGTAGACATGAATTTATTTCTACGTTTCTTTTTTTATTTTTTTTTAAAGATTTTATTTATTTATTTATTTTTAGAGAGGGAAGAGAGGGAGATAGAGAGAGAGAGAGAAACATCAATGTGCGGTTGCTGGGGGCCGTGGCCTGCAGCCCAGGCATGTGCCCTGACTGGGAATCGAACCTGCGATGCTTTGGTTCTCAGCCCACGCTCAATCCACTGAGCTACGCCAGCCAGGGCTTTATTTCTTCATTTCTTTTAAGAAGAAATATTTCTCTTATGGAAGATACTTTCATGAACAGGACTGCTGTATTTTAAATATTACTGACCACACCTAACACGGGCAAAGGTTCCTGTGAAGAAAACAGGGACATCGCCAGGTCCCCTGCACAACTACACGCAGTGAGGAAAGAGAGAGATGGAGAGAGAGGGCGGGAGAGGGGTCGCATGCCCGTTCCGCACGGGTCCTGATAACATCTGACTTCTCAGGAGCCGTGGCCACACGCTCCGTCAAAGTTGAAAACACGGAGTCGGGACGTGTCCCTCATGGGCTACCTGCCACTTCCCTTTTAATGGCCATCTGCCTCTCGGGCCCACGGTGGCCCCCGCGGGTCTGAACAGGCCCACTGGACGCGAGAGTGACCGGCAGGACACGGGGGTTCCCGCACTGCTGGCATGTTTCATCGGAAGGACGGACGGGGGCGGCCTGGCCGAAGCAAGCGGTCCCTGGGAAGGTGTGGGTGCAAGTCAGAGGAGGCAGGTGTAGTCGGGAGCCCCGTTCTGGGGGGCGGGGAGGGCAGGGGTGGGTCTAGAAGTGCCGTCACGGGGGAGAGGGCCCATCTCCGCCGAGACAGAGAAGCAGAGCCGTGAGGATTGGTGCAGCGGCCCGCCCTGCCGCCCGGGGATGCTGCCGCAGCTGGGACCACAGCTCGGGAAGGAGGGGAGCCAGCAGCAGGGGCCGGCCCAGCCCCGGGGATGGGGCGGGGGGCGGGGGCGAGGCCGGCCGAGGGGTTCTTCCTTTACTAACTTCCTCGTCTCGGGAGTCACTCAGATCGGCCACCAAAACGCCCCTTTCCCTCCCGTTTCTACGCAAACCCCAGCCGCTCGATGTGATGCCCAGGGTTTTGTTCTGGACGCCGGAAACTCCACTCAGCGGTCCGCACGCCCTGGGGATGCGGCGAGGACAGACGCTGCGCCTTCGGAACCCCGAGAGCATCGCTCTCCCCTCGGGCAGGGGAGCCGGGCAGCGACCCCACGACCAGGCCGCCTCATCCTCTGAACCTGACTCTTAAAACAGCCCCGAAGGCAGAGAGAGAGAGAACCACACACGTGTGGGCCGCCAGCACGTGGAAGACCCGGGCGAGAGGCGTCTGGGAACGCGCCACACTGTTGCCGCAGCTCTCACGGACGCCTCCGCCAGGGCGGAGTTCTAAAACTGTTGAGAGGCGGACGGTGTTTGGGTCACGGGGTCACGGCCCTGCTGACCGACAGGCTGCGGCCTTGCCAGCCGGCGGAGGTCGGTCTCGTGGGCACATCTCAGGCTGCTGCATGGACCCATGTGGCAGCGCGGAACCCCCTGCCGCTGGTGACCTTGGTGACCTGGGACACGGCGACCTGCCTCACCAGCGCATCCTTGTCGAGCACTGTCTGTGTGCCCACCCACACGTGGGCCGCCGCGACGGAACACACGTGCCCCGGGACCGAAGGCCTTCCTCTCGTTGGGAGGTGGGCCCGCTGGGGCGGAGACAGACAGTGGGACGGGTGCCGAGGCGGAGGGAACCCCTCAGGGCGGGTGGGAGGACACACGGACAGCTGGGACGGGTCTGACTCAGGAGAAGGGGCTCCGGGCGAGGGGTCCGGCACCTCACGGGCCGGCGAGGTGGGACCGTGGTCAGAGGAGCGTGCAGGACGGAGCGGGGAGCGGGAGCGCAAAGCTGAGCGAGGCAGCAGGGGCACGGGCTTCAGGACGAAGGAGTCGCCTGTCAGCAGCGATGCCAGGTCACGCATCTACTAAGGTCACGCCAGCCCTGGCTGGCGTAGCTCAGTGGATGGAGCGCAGGCTGCGAACCAAAGCATCGCAGGTTCAATTCCCAGTCAGGGTACATGCCTGGGTTGCGGGCCACGGCCCCCAGCAACTGCACATGGATGTTTCTCTCTCTCTCCGTCCCTTCCCTCTCTAAAAATAAATAAATAAATAATCTAAAAAAATTAAAAAATAAAAAAGGTCACGCTCCTGGGGCGGCAGGGGATGGAGCACCTGTCCACCTGCATTAATAATAGAGGACGCCCACACAGTCCTCGGTGGCTCACAAAGCAGGCCAACACGTTCCTGCTGGACTCCTTTCTGAGCACAGTCTCAGTGCAAGATGCACTTCCACCGCGCCCATGAGAAAACCCACTTCCGGTGAGGTGATGTCACCAAGGGCCTAGTGTGTTTGTTGCACATGCTCCTAGCAGCAGTTCTGAACCCACACCTGGCGGCAGGTGGGGCTGCTACGGAAATGGGGTTCTCTCCCCCGCCCCGCCCTGCGGCACCTGGGAGGCGAGTGCCCTAGGTCACCTCCCAGAGTCCCCAGTTTCCCGCAGTGGCCGCTCACTGGGCTGCAACCCCGTCCCCAGCCCCCCCCCCGTGGTCCCGCGTCCTCACGCCTGGGTGGTGGTTCCCGAGGTCGCCTCCCAGCACAGGGCTTCGCCCAAACTTCTTTCTCACGGTCTGCGCCTAAGGAACCCAGGGAAGACGTTTTTCCTGAAGCGCTGTGTCTCCCAGTGGCTGAGAGGTGCAGTCACCGGGGATTTTTGGCTGTGTGATTTTCGTTTTTCAATTCTTTAAACAACGAGGAGAGGGCGCTGTTATGAAGACAGGTGGTCATTTAATGGCCTGCGGCCTGTTAAATCCACTGCGCGTCAAAGCTTCTGCCGGGAGAGGCCCCGGCACCGAATGGACAGTTGCCCTGGAACCTGTAACAGAATTGGTGAGGACGGATGAGAGAAAGATTTTTGCATTTCTCCGGTTGCTTCCGTCACAGACAGAAACACTCCGGCACTTGCTGGTTCGCCCTGATCACAGCTTCAGGCGATTTCAGAAATCCTCAGGTTGGACGGAAACCCTCACGCACACGGGTAGCAGGCCTCATTCTCAGAGCCTCAGAGCCTGAGAGCGTGAAACCAAGGATGACCGAAAGAAAACACAGGGAAACTGTTCAGTCCGGTGGCAGAGGGTGCAGGGGAGCAGGGGCGGGGCGGGGCGGTCCAGGAGCGGTCCGAACCCGGCCGTGGCTCCCCTGGTCCTACCACATCTCCGGCCCTGTCCCCAGAGGGGACACTGGAACACAGAGCTGTTGAGTCAGGTGGCAGGGCCGGGCCAGTGCCCTAGTAGCCGGCTGGGGAAGAACGCTTCACACCTGGGGGGTCAGGGGGGGAATATTCCCCGGGACCTCAGCTACATGTCCTGCTAACGAATGGAGAAATGCATCCACGCGGGTGCCGTGCAGGCGTGCCTGTTGCGAGTTGATACAGGACTTTTTACGTCATCGGTCCGGAAGAGCCCTATTTTAAGTTGGCGGCGGGAAGCTGCTGCCACCCAGAGTGAGGGGGTCGCAGGGGGTTCCCAGTTTGGAGGCGGAAAGGGTGGGGCACGGGGTGGATGAACGGTGCTCGCTTGGCCCCACGGCTGAGCCGGCGAGAGAGCCGAGACTCAAACCTTCGCTTCTTCAGGAGCCTCGGGGGCAGGCTGGCCCCCGAGGGCGAGGGTGTCGGGGCTCTGTGACCGTGCCCTGGAGCCAGGGTGGTCCCGGGACCCTCGGAGCATCTTTGCTTAGCAGCGGCGTCCAACGTTTGGCGTCTCTGGGCCACATTGGAAGAAGAGTTCTCTTGGGCCACACATTAAATTCACTGCAACACGTAATCACAAAAAATTCTCGTAATGTTTTCAGCGCAGGTACGATTTTGTGTTGAGCTGCATGCACAGGCATCCTGGGCTGCATGCAGCCCGCAGGCCACAGGGTGGACACCCCGGGTAGGGGACTAGCTCAACAACAGTGGCTCTGTGTGGTCTCAGGATGTGCAGATGGGTAAATGACTGTTAAAGACACGGCCGTCCTCCCCCCGCAGGAGAAAACAGAAGAAGGGCCACAAGAAACCTGCCGTGGTCCCCGGGGGGCCTGGGGATTGACAGAGGGCAGAGTCGCGAGGATCTTTTCACCGTGGATACTTTGCTCCGCCCACACCACACCTCTCAGTTCCGAGAAGAACTGGAAACTGAGGGGCTTGGGACCGAGAAACGCGGGCGTCTGAGAAACAGCGAGGGTGTCCTCACGGCCGTCTTCGCAGAGACACGGGGGGGTAAAGCGAATCGCCCTGCACGCGGCGAGGGCAGCAGGGTGCGGCCGGTGCACGTCCCGCCTCCCGGGGGGGCTCCGTCTACGGTGCCGCCATGGGCAGGGCTGAGGCCGGGGTCCGGGTGTTGCTGAAAGCGGACTCCCTGGGACCTCCGCGCATGCCTCCCCCTCAGTCACCCTGGAGCGGAACCGGTTAAATGACGGTGACCGAAGCTTTTCCTCACCCCAGGCAGTACCCTCCCTTGTCCTCCCCTGCGTGTTACATAGAACGTGGAGCCTGGAATCAACTTAAACAAAATGGTCTAAAGACATGCAGAGAAAAAGCTGCCCGCATTCAGAGAGCATCCCGACGGGGCTGGAAGGTTTCACTCGAAACCACGACGGTCTCCCAGCCGGGTCCTTCACTAAACTTGCGTTTGTCCCGCGAGGTAGGCCAGCTAGCGCCTGTGATTGGGTTTTACGACTCGGTTACAGAGACTGATGACGAGGCGGCGGCGGCGCACGGTGCCAGAAAGACTCTGGCTCGTTCTTCAGGGTCAATGGCCCCTGGCTGCACGGAAAATGCCATTCACTGCAGTGACAAAACGCCCTCTTTGTCTGGCTCTGATTATATTTCAGCCAGAGAAGTAACGGAACGGC